AAAATATTAAAAAAGTAATTTGTAAAAACCAAATTGACCAAAATACCCCTGAAAATTTTTGGGGGTATTTTGGTCAAATTATTTAATGTAAAATATTTTGATCATATTTTTCGTAGATTCCCCTATTTTTGATAAATACAGGCTTTAAATAAAAAAAAAAAATTCAATACTACCGGATATCCGTGATTGTCAAATCGGCCCAAATTCGATCTGGGCCGTTCGGCGTTTACTTGAGCGGTCCATGAATCGGCGTACCGTAGCATCTTCTATATATATATAAATATAAAAAAGGTGGGGTTTCTATAAGGTTGCAACCTTAAACAATCCAATTAAGGCACAACTCCAAATTTTATATTAATATATAATTTTGGTGTAAAAAAATCATAGGATTATCTCTAAATCTATATCCATATCTAATTATAAAACTGTAAACTCTAAAATTGGTTAAAATCAAGTAGATCTATAAACATATGAAAATCTTGAAAATGGATGGTCTAGATAATATAGATGGAATCCCAACCGAAAGATCTTCATCGAGTAATTCAAAATACATATCATTATTTTAATTTTAATGTTTTTTATATAAATCTGATTAAGATTAAATTTGGACGTATATACTTAACACTATTGCGCACCATATAAAAATATAAAAAAAATATTTTCAATAATTTAAAATGATCAAATGATCCCATCATTTTTCGAGGTATTTTGATCATTTTATATTTTGAGTTATATTTTTTTATATATTTTTAATTGTGCGCCGCTCGAGTTAATGACAACATAGGATTGCAAAACTTTTCAAGTACTTGACCTTGAACTCTACGGTCAATACGCGATAAGAAGACCCAAATGAGTTAAATAAACAAATGCAAAAAAATGGTAGAACTTCCCAACATCTGATCCATAATCCCGAGGTAAATATTGAGAGGGCAGTCTTTGTTTTGAGGAACAATAGTCCTGAAAATTTTCTAGGACCCGTGTTTATTGTGATTTACTTATTTATTTAAGAGCATATATGGTGTCCTATTGGAGCATGCTATACACTCAATAGTTAGGGAAAGCTTTCTATGTTCCCCTACAATATAGAAGTTCTATCATCTCTCTACCATCCATCCGTCCATTTTTTATCAAGAAAGCCATTCATCGTTTTATTTTAGATTCGACGTCTCAAAGTTTTTTATTTTTAATTTTTTATTACAATTTTTTTGAATATAAAATTTGGTATGTGACGTCTTCTCATTGGGGCGTACTTTTAAAAAATATTAACAATAATTTTTCCATAAAAAATAATGACCAAAATACCCCTTGAATCTTTTAAGGGTATTTTGATCATTTTACTTTATTGAAAATAATTTTTCTTTTTTTCGTTAGTGCGGGTTTAATAGAGGAAACGTCCAAAATTTGGTGTCAAAACAGTTTATAAATAAAAATAAAAATAAAATAGTGTAGAGACGTGATATTCTAATTGGGGCAATCTTCACCCTCCAATAAAAAATAGACACGTTTGGATAAGGGGAGGATAGAACTTCTATGTTGTAAGGGAACATAAAAAGGTTTCCCTAATAATTATATCTGTTGAAAAAAAAAAACGCTAATAGTTATACACTCCTTGCTCCATCTTAGGAGATTACTCTTTTTTTTCGAACACAGACAGTTGGATAAGATTTTTATTTATTTTTTATTGTTTTTCTTTTTTTTTAAGGTCGGTAGCTTGTTAAATAGATTACATTCCCAAGCTTCAAATCTTAAAAGTACCTTCATATAGCGTTTTGCCCCAATGGGTGGATGAAAGATATGCTCCAGTTAGTAGTTATAATTTTTTGAATAAATAACGTATGGATTTGAAATAATTACTAAAAATACAAAACGATATGATTTATGCGGAAATTACAAGGAAAGCCGGTCAGCTTTTTTTTTTTTTTTTTTTCTGAATTTGCCATCCGAGGTTAGAATCTTTGGATTGCCCTTGGAACACAGCAAACCCCAGTAGAGTGGTTTGAGGTCCCCATACTTTGTTTTTCTCAAAAAATTAGAAATGAAGTTGCTCGACGATGGGAATCTCGAACAACCCTGGAATTGAGTCCTGCTAAGTCTAGAGAGCAGTCCGAGGTCTTCATCCTCGGACCGCCGCTTTCGTAAAAAATAAGAAATAAAGTGTTGTTTGAGGATGGGGACTTTAAACCACTATTTTTATCCAAAAATAAGAAAAAAAGAGCAGTCCGCAAGAATAGGGACCTTGGACCACTCAATAACTACGGCCTGCCCTACTAACGAAAAACCAATAAATTAAAATAAAATAAAATGTGGTTAGAAGCTGGCAGGGCCTTAGTTGTGGAGAGAATGACATCAGAAAGTAGTGAAACCGAGGGACTAGGATCACCCCTTGCTAGCTAATATAAAAGGCCGCCTCTTGAGTCTCCACAACAGAAGTGGGGGATCCTAGGAGTCTCTCTACAAACATACATACATACATACATACAGAGAGGAAGAGTTCTCGGAAGATGAAGGTATCAGATGGGCTTCGGCATTTTCATGCCTTTTGGAAACGGATGGTTTAGATTAAGAAGGACGACATCGTTGAAGGTTAGAGCAGCAAGTTTTTTATATTGAGGGTCTTTTCAATTTCGTCGGATTTTATAATCATATAAAATTGAAAACTCTCAATATAAAAAATTTTGTATCTTGCGGCTGCAAAGATTTGAACCATTACCATTGGATAAGATCCTCGTGAGGAGTCTTTGATGGAATGCAAGCACACAAAAGTGTGTTTGTGTGCATGCGTCTGAGTGCTTGTGCACAGGCATGGTCAGGTTGGAGCATTTTTGCCATTGAGCAAGAGAATTCTGTCCAGTTTGTGTTGTTATTTTCATAACACGTTTGGACAGATTGTTTGCTATTCATGACTAACTGCCATCCTTTTACTACATTGGAGTCATCGCAATACATAAAGAGAAAGCAAACTTTTGCGATCCGGTTAGGGGTTCCAAAGGACCGGGCTGGCCTCCGGCTTTGGGCCCGTGGCCGGGGACCATTTTACAGGGCTGTCACCGGGCTTTGAGGCTGGTTTTGGGAGGGAGGGCTGTTGAGGGGGCGTTTTGTTTTTCGGTCCAGGCCGGGCCAAATAGGTCCACAATAACGCCGAAAGTCGCCCTCTTAAACATACCCAAACCTCTCTCTCCCTCTCTATCTGCGAAACCCAATCTCTCTCTTATTTTAACTTCCCTAGTCTCTCTCTAAAGACACAGAGAAAACCCACTGGTTGGGGCCATGGATGCATATTGATTATGCCTTCAGTGAGAAACTAAAATATTGTAAGAGGAGAGAGAAAGCTTGCTCCTGCAACTCAACCTATTCTTATTTATCTTCTCGTGCTCCCCCACTTCAAAACTTCTCTCTCTTTCGTGTTCTCATTTTTCATCTACTACTTATTGTTATTCTGCTATTATTGTTTAGCTGTTACAGGAGAAATAAAGCCCGACACGCCATTTTGTGCTAGAATCTCCACTGTAAAGCTAAGAAGAAAGCAGCGATCCCCATCCACCGAGCTTTAAGAGCTTCTCTATATACCACCAAATTGACCTCTGCTTGCCTCCATCACCCTCCCTAAAGCGTTTGTTAGAGAGAGAGATAAATAGTTGGCCATGTGTTGGATGGGAGGCGGACGTGTTATTTTTTTTTTTTTTGGGTAAAATTTCAAAAAATAAATAAATTTATTTATTCGATTTTATTAGGGGGTGCATTTTTGCATAGGGATGCATCCGTAGGGGTAGAGGTAAGGTGCACCTTCAAATTTTATCAAGGTATATAATTTTGATGTAAAATGTTTTTAGGATTATCTTAAAATTTATTTTAATATCTAATTATAAAATTTTAAATTAAAAAAATAGTTAAAATCAAGTAGATCTATGAACATATGAAAATCTTGAAAATGACCTGCGTAGATAATATATTGTAAAATGTACTATTTTTTAGACTTAAATTTTTTTTATTTTTTACAGATATCGAGATAATCAATCAAAAGGTTTTTCAGCATTAAAATTACCTCTTTAGATAGATTTTTTAGGAGCATCCGTAGTTATGCATTATAAGGTAGAATCCTTATCATAAACTTTTTCCTTTATACTTTACTACATTTTTTTATTAGAAGAATGTTTTTGGCTTTTTGAGAAACTTCTTTAGAGAGAGATCTAACCCTTCAAAAACAAAAGTATATATGGGCCGGCTGGGACAAGGCCCGGCCCGAAAGCCATCATCTGACCAATAGTGGGATGTGTCGGGGTTAAGAAAATATTTCGAGCCTGCCCTCCCTGAATCCGGCTCCATGGCAGCCGTAAATGCATTTGATCTGTACCATTTCTAGATCTCTGTCGTTTAAGAAAGTGCGTCGAAACACCAGTTCGAATCATTTGCACCCACATATACACACAAATCAACCCTTCCTTTTGTCCATAATTGAAAAATATTATTTCTGCTAAACTGTCAATACCTACTTTTCTTAATTTTCTGATTTATGTTCGTATGTATGTATGTTAGATGTATGTAAATATATGCATGGTGTCATGTAGATATATTATGAAGTATTGTGCTGGTTTTCTTTTGCAGAAAGAGGTGGTGATCAAGGTGAGCATGAAGTGTCAAAAGTGCCATTCCGAAGCCATGGTAAACGTTGCCAAACAACTTGGTGAGTGTCTCTGTGACTGAAAATATTTTCTAAAAAATTCTTCATGCAGTAAAGGGTGGAAACATTGTTACATCAATTAGTTGCCAAGTGGGAATATCTAACCCAAGTTGCTTTATTTACCAAATAAATTCCTTTGCTTTTATTTATCAAAAAGAAAATAATACTGCACTTTCTTTCTTTTTTTCTTTCCTTTCTCACATTTCAAAATATAGCTTCTCAACTATGTGAAAAACATCGCTCAGAAATAAAGATCTGTGGCTTGCTCAGACAAAATAATATCGGGGGTATTATTTTGATGCTGATTAAGCCATCAATTAAGGCGCATCTCAAAAATTCACTAGGAGGAGTTATTTCAATGCTGAAAGACCCTCTAGATGTATGGACATGAGAAAAATCGATTTCAAGTCTTAGAAACAATACATCTTGTAACGTATTATCCAGGCCGTCAATTTTCAAGAATTCATAAAACTGCTCAATCTACACTATTTTTTAATCTTTAAATTTTATAACCAGCAATGTAAGTAAATTTTCAGGTCATCATAAAGAATTACTGAAACAATATATTTTGCATTGAAAATAAATATAAAAATTTCTGATACTAAATTTTTTAATTAGAGATGTCAATAAATATATTGGGATGGGTGTAAACTTGGTGAATGGATATCGAATGACTGAAAACTTTTTGTCAATGGAAATACTAATTACATTTTTCCAAAAACTGCATAACACAACAAAAGTAAACATACAAAGGGAGCATTATAATCCAAAATAATTTTTTAAAATCCATGCAGGCGTGGAAGTCATAAAACTTGATGGTGATAAGAACCAACTAACGGTGATCGGGGAGGAGATCGATTCAGCTCGCCTGACATGTTCACTGAGGAAGAAATTTGGGTATGCACAGCTGGTTAGTGTGAAACCAGCAACAGAAAAAAAGAAGGAAGAGCCAGTACCGAAAAAGATGGAGTGCCAATGGCAACCTCTTTTATGTCATTATCATTACATTGAGCCTAGTCCATGTCAATATTACGATGAGGGGTCAGTTTGTTCTATTATGTAACCATCAAAATTGCTCCTAAATTATTAAACACTAGTGATTATCTTTTGTGAATAATTGATGTAAAACTCTTGGTAGTTTTAAAAGTTAAGGCCCAACTTCGTGCCTTTAATCTCTGGAAGCCCCTTAGCATGATTCTATCAGCTATTAGTAAACTGAGATCTCAGTCCCGCAAATTTTTGTGCGATATTTTCTTCTTGCGATCGATTGACTCGAAAAATTAGTGATCCAGCTTGAATCAAAAGGTTCTTGAGATGGCATAGGGGTGTGTTCAGTGTTTTAAAAAAGGCCGAGTCGAACCGGACTCGCCCGGTTCGACTTGGAAATCGCAAAAGTGGATCGTATCAGCTAAAAAATCGGAAATCGTCCGGTTCTAGAGAGAACCGGACGATTCTGTATAGTGACTCGCCGATTCACTGTACGGAATCGGCGAGTCCAAACAGTGAATCGGCGATTTTCGTACGGTTAATTTTTTTTTTTTTTTTTTTTTTTTTTTTTTTTGTTTAATTTCCTATTGTATTAGATTTTTT